GTCCAGGGTGTCCCCTGCCTTCGCCCTAAGTCGGCTGGGATAGGCTCCAGCCCCCCCCGCGACCCTAATGAGGATTAAGCGGTGTATAGAAAATGGATGGATGGATATTGTTATAGAGCCACAAAAACAGAATGGGAAGAGGTTGGGTTGAATGGATGTGTCAGTAAAACATTACCCTTTACCACAGGATTGTTTCTGTGTCTAAACCTAACCAGAAATGAAAAATATCTGCATATTATGATTCTATGTAGTTGTTTGACTGTGCAACTTCTGAATAATACACTTAACCTCTTAAAACCCATGGTATAACATCTACAAAGTCAGTGATGCCTATGGTCCTGGAGGCGATTTGTCGAGCCCGAGAAAATAATTCTGCTGACGTCGTAGTGATGTCATTACAAGTGGCCATCAGGACATCTTGATTTGAGTATAAAATTTCTTTAGCAGAAAGTCTACAATTATATTAAAGGGCTTACTCCTCTTGAGAAATTACAACTGTGCCAGGTGACATGTGCCCTTAAGTAATTTACAAAATAAAAGCATCTTTAACAAGTTAATGAAAGCCACCAAATGTGGCTAATGGCATCTGTCTTGTATTATCTTTCATTGTGATCTTGTTTGGAGTAGGTGGATTAGGCAGATAAGTTGATGCCAGCTCTTAGTAATAATCCAAAACCAATTACTATGGCATCACAATTGGGCCCAAGCCCACTGGAGCTCACAAACAACTCTTGAAATCTGTTTGGCATTGAACAACCAAATATAAAATGTTGCTTTTGTCAACTTTAATAACAGCTGTCATATTGCATAGCAGCATGATCAGTACTGTACATGAACTCATAGAAGAGCTGTGAGCAATTTACACAGGTGGCACAGCAGCCGTAATGTCATTATTTTAATTTTCTGACATGTCATTGTGATCTTAGAGAGCCAACTGGGCTCTATTCTGCACATCTAACACCTGAGCTGCTACACAGATTTATCATTTCCAAACTCACTGGGAACAAAGTGGTCATGCTCAGGATGAATCCATCAAAGTTGTCACCACATTTTTAGTTTCAGAATTGTAATTTTAACTATTGTTTTCTTCTGAGACTTGCAATATTTTTCTGATGTATCAAATGGATTATTACAAGGAGTTTTTAGTTTGACTGCAACAGAAGGTTGGTCTTATTGTGAAAAGTCTATTATATTTAGACTTTAAGTGACTGTTGATACTTTAGCTGGGTAAGTGTGAAGATGCCTATTTTATGTTTGGCTGGGATCCAAGTGTTTCCTACACCATGAGTTAAATGAAAATAACAATAAAAAAAAAAACAGAAATGAAAAATGGCCTACCACTGCAGTGTATTTGGATATAGGCCTATATATTTTGGGGCATTGCATTTTTGTCCATTGGAACTTTGTAGTGCTCTAGGGGGTGAACTTTTATCCTGTCCCATTGACTTAAAAGGTTGCTTTGTCCAAATTACCAGAAGGAGAGTTCACAAGCAAAATACGACTATGAGAATGCTCTGGCTTCTCCCCATTGGTATCCAGCTAGTTAGATTTAATTTGAGACATCCAAGTCTGGAATGTCACCAATACAATGGAAGTGAATAGATTTTTTTTTTTTTAACTTCAAAAAATGACATTTGAGGAAATCAGCTATAACATCTCATTCCACAAACAGCATCTTTGATAATCTGGGCAATCCAAATCCACAATACACAATATATACAGCCCAAGAAATATTCTCTATTTCTGCAGTCTTTGAGTCTCAGCTATACTGAAAAACAACTCCACCTCCTCACAATTTAATCCCTGAATACAAAAATCATTTCATATTTTATTAACTCCTCCAGCCACACTCAGTCACATTAGTATCATGAGCAAGCCTAGGGAAGAAAGAACATCTACGTACAACAACGATCAATTCTCCCCTGAAATCAGATCTGGTGCATGAATAAACTTATACAAACTGATCGACAGGCTTAGGATGTGTTGTGTAACTGAGGCCCTCTTTTTATCCACTATGGTATGTTCTGTTTCACACCTTTTTCACTAATATAAGATAATGAATGGGATTATATTAGTGAAAAACCACACACCAACACACACACACACACAAGTGCTTAAGCAGATGCAAATGCACACTTGAAGCTCTGTTAGACATGCATGTGACTAGTATCAGAATCCAGCCTTAAAGCAGACTCAGTCTATGTGCCCCTGGTTGCACGTTTTAAAAAATAATTGGATTCACACAGACAACCTCCAGTTTAAGCTACCAGTAGTAGAATGAATGGGTGGATGAATGAATGAATGGCTTGGGGAGGTCTGAAAGGCAGATTTGAAAGCTTTGAAACTAACTTTTCATTTACTCCAATGTGAATCCTGCTGATGTATGACAATCATACATTATTCAAACGGCAGCAGACTAAAAATACCTCACACTAGAAGGAACACGCACATCCATAACTTTTAAAATACATATTCAAGCACATGATGTATGAAGTTACCTTCTCCCTCCACACTGTCTGTGATTTTCATCTCCTGGCCCATGGTGAATGACTCGGGCTCGGTGGGGGTTTTGGTTTGCTGGTGATTGTGGTTGGTGAAGCCATCCGGGGCGCACTGGCCGTTCCGCACCGTGGCCGGGCAGGGATCCACAACAGTCGGCTCTGGGACGGGGTAGCACTCTTGGGGCATCTGGTCTGTCATTGTTGCTGCGGTTGTTGTTGTTGTTTAGTTTTTCAGTCTCGGAGGCAGAGGAAGGTGAGGATGATGAAAAGGAAAGAAAAAAAAAATCACACCGGTTCGCTAAGTGCAGCAGCCATCCAGCGCGTCCAATAAGCCACCGGTGTCGACTCAGTTGCGCAAGCAGGGAGGTGGGGAGGAAAGAAAGAAGAGATGGCGGTAAGAGAAGAAGATGGGAGATAACGAATTTATCAGCATCAGTAGCGAAGCAACTCCCTCTGTGAGAAGTGTGCGCTGCAGGCACAATGTAAATACCCTGTCCGGCGGAGCCAGTTACAGACAGTTTAGGGTTAGATGCGATGATGCGATAAATTGCTGAGATCTGCTGTGAATCTAGCAGGCGGTGCCAGCAAGTCGTCCCCCCCTCCCCCCTCCTCCCTTTTCTCCTCTCATAACTCAGCATCTGATTCCCTTACAGAACCACTACATGTAATACTCAGTGACATCTGCCCTGAATTACTCAAGCATTTTACAGTTTCTCTTTAAGTTTAATTTTTGCACAAAACTAGACCTGCACAGAAAACCAGAGAAGCAGCTTATAATGCATAGATGTTACATTGTGACTACAGATGACCTTATGCTGTACATAATGTCTACTTTTTATATTTTACCTGAGGATACAGTGATTATTACCCACCAGATGGCGCCTAAATGCAGAGCTGTGCGTAATTGAGGATATAAAGTAATTAAATAACAAGGATCCATATTTAGAATATCAGTCTGCTACTTATTTAAATGAGTAGTAGGTCAGTCTGTGGTTTTTATCTGTGCAGCCTAGTCAGACAACTGCAAAAAAAAGCATTCAGGTGCAATCATAATGTGACATCTTGCAACATAAACCTTTGAATAAAGCACCAAACTCTGACTCAGCACAGGGCGTTCTGCTTTATGAGCTTGTGTGTGTTAGTAGTAGTGCATTAATAATGTAGTCTGAGGCAATCACACAACTTTCTAAACACCAACAACTCCCTCAGACTCATGATTTGACTTTCTGCTTGCTTTCTAGATTAGGTAATAAATAACAGCAGCAGTCAGTCACCTGTCGGTCATTGGTTTCTGCCTGACGGGGGGGAGTGAATTTACACACAGATATCGCAACATATCTTGGGCAGCAGACCACTGCGGTTTCCTGAGAGCAATCACAAGGATGAAGGTTGATATTCACAATCATATTTTACCAAAGGAGTGGCCCAACTTGAAGCAGGTAGGCATTACCAGTTCATTCAGGATCTAAGAGGTTTTTGTACACACCTGGAGCCTCAGTCGGAGCATATCCTCACAATCTATAGACCAGATCTCATTTTGGGAGGTTCAGTGGATTTAAAAGACACATCTGTCTGTATCACTTATGTGGCAGACAGAGCGTGAATTCGAGACCATTAAATGCCAGTAACATAAAATATATAGACTTTTTCTCAGTGGCTTGTCAGCGAGGACTTTAACAGCTCACTCCATAAATCTGTGCTCTCTATGGGTGGTTAAACTTTAATCAATAGGCGCTGGCTTTGCTTTATCTGTTCCTGCTCTTACGTCTTTGTCACTGTGTAGGCCTGGCTTTAGCTAATGATTTTCATTTCTTGACTAGAGACATGGTTCTGCAGCCTGGTTGGTGTCTTCACATGCCAGTAGGATTTCTGTGCCTCCCTCTTTCTGTCTACAAGTAGAGACGTATAACTTTTTGTACATGCCTGTTTTACTGTATGTAAGTTGTGCAGTAGCCTCTAACTTCTCCTCCGGTTTGGGTGTTTGGTTTAATGCTCATGGAGGATCAAATTTCTCAGGATAAATCAAAATTCAGTCTTTCATAGCAATAAAAGCATAAACAGTTCACAGATTCTGACCCGGTAAAAATGAAAGGATCTTTTGTCTTACAAAAACAAAGACAAAGACTGCATCTTATGAAAGTCATGTTTTTTTGTACCTTGTAGACTTGCCGATATGGTGTATTTTTTATGCTTGAAGACACGAGTTAAATAAGCAGTGAATGCCATGACTGAGCATTTCCACCTTGAAATTACAGTGTATTGATGACGGTCGCAGAAAATGAATTCAGACAGCCACGGTTTCAAATGCAACACACTTAAGGAAACAATTCTGTCAGCTTGTAGGGTAGTAATTTCCATATCAATATTTTTCTTCTCAATCTGTTTCTGGTTCTTGCATGTATGGTGGGATTAATCTAATATTAAAACTTGCCGTGGTGTAGCGTAGAGTAGTTTTCCACTCTTTTAGCAGAGTCAAATGTGAGCTGGTCTGCTTGAGCTGCAGTGAGTGGGGATGAAGAGAGATGCAGGGATTTCCCAGATCAGCATACTTTTTCGAGGGTGACGGTGTAGAGCTACATTTAAGCAGTTTTGAAGGGCTTGCCACAGAGACACTTTAAAAAGTGTAAATTAGATCACATTGGATTTGACGATACAGCTGGGGTCCGAAGAGAGTGATTGTGTCCTTCTCTGCTGCAGAAATGTAAAATAAGCTATCAGTTCAAAATCATGATTATAGGAAGCTCTGGTGAAAATTTGATTAAAAATTCTGAAGTATCAGGTCAATAAAGCTATGTTATGTTTGTGTTTGGAATTGTTAAACAGGGTGCAGAGCCTAATCGAAATATCAAAGTTAACCTTATTTTAACTCTACGGTTGAACTGGCATGGACACATTTAATTTAAAGCAGGTTTCACTGAAATAGATACTTGCAGGCACAGATTCCCACTTCACATTTAAAACAAGACTGTAAAACCCATCTTGTATTTCAAAAGCTGAAGCGCCTCAATGGCATCAGCTAAGTACACATACAGCTGATCTGCATGGATATGAAATGAGGCTTTACTGGCTATGTTGCTCACATAGATCACGTCCAGCTTCATTTGTATGCAAAAGCATCAACAGCCTCAAAAGGCATTCACTTTTAGTGATCCAGTGGACAGTCCCATAGGATCATGACTGAACCTTCACAGATGGGATAACACAATCAATAGCAGGGTGTATAGGAAATCTCAAACTGTGCTGGTTTACATAGAGATTTTACATCAAAATTAAACAGTGCAGTGCAACCTGGTGCATAATATAGATTTTAAAGAATGTGACATTTCAAAGCTATAGAATTATTAATCATGTGTTTTTCATGTGCTTTAGAGATATGGATATGATGGGTTTGTCCAGCTTCACCATCACTGCAAGGTGAGTCACTGTCCTGTTTGTGCTCCTTTTTTCCCCATGTATGTACAGACAGGGTGCAGGGAGCACTTACGTACTTGTACTGTATACTTTGCTGGGCACACAGCAGGTTCATCCTGGGTGCACTCCACCCTGTGGACCTGTCAGGCTGCTCCTGGCTACGTGAGCAGCTGCAGGACTCAGCATGATGCCACTGCATCAGCGGAATGATTCACTTCAAACACAGCAGAACGCAGAGCAGCTTGGTGACTGTGTAACCAATGCAAGTTTCAGCATCAGACATCGGTTGAGCTCTTGGTATCACCAGACTGTACTTACAGATGAATAGCTGCACGTGTGTGTGTGTGTGCATACATACAAACATAAACCGAGGCAAGTGATGAATGTTTGGTTAAAAGTCTCGATGGCATTGTTAAAACAAGATTTAAGAGGACTCTTTGCCTCTTTGTGACTCAAGTGTAGGTTCATACAGATAAGATCATTTTCAATAAGAATCAACTGTTTGCTGCCATCATGTGGCTGTAGATTGAAATGCTGTTAAATCAAAAGGTCACGTAACCTTATTTGCATGAAAATCATATAAATGATCAAGAACAACAACAAAAACTCTGCCGAGGCTCTCCCACAAACAGACACTGGACATGTCAGTTGTCATCATTTCAGTTAGGGCTGTTAACCGTGTTAATGTTGTGTTTTAGGGTCAAGCAGAAATGATGAAGGATGGGAAGCTGTTCCGGGTGATACAAGAAAACTGCTGGGATGCAGATGCGCGCATACGGGACATGGATCAACATGGTAATGTGTACAGATACAAATCATACATAATGATTAATGTTTTAGCTCAATGATGCCTAAAAAACAATTCTTCTGTTCCTGGTCTTCAGGCGTCTCAGTTCAGGCTCTTTCAACTGTTCCTGTAATGTTCAGTTATTGGGTAAGTGCACACGACATCAGGACACATTTCATCAAAAACAATGTGGCTATTAGGTTTTATTGCTGTATGCTTCTGACCTGAAAGATAGGTGTTTACTGTGCCCCAAATAACTGAGATGTCTATCCTCTAAAAATTAAAAAGGGGGTGCAAATTGTGCAATACTACAGTGGCTCATATACTTGTCTGCAAACTCAGAACACAAAAATAAAAACCATGACAATTTCATTATTACTTACGGAGCCCGTCTGGTGACATCGATAAAAAATAAAAATAACTCATTCCCACGCATTAGTAAATGGTGGTCACGAGATATTAATGCGTGGGAACAACATAATTATCACACAGTGTTTCATTGCAAGAGATCGCAGGATATCGGTATAGTTCATTCCAAGGTTAAAATCAAATCAAATCAAATCAAAGTGCTCCATGTTTCATGCAAGTACGCCCGTTATCCTTAATCGACAGCTGGTATGACCGCACCGTCAAATTTGCTCCACAACTTCTCTTGTTTCTTCATATTAGTAATACGAGGCCACAATTTAACTATGTCGTTCCCACGCATTATTAACTCATGGCCACGATTTCCTAATGCGTGGGAACGAGTTATTTTTTATTTCTTATCAATGTCACCAGACGGGCTCTGTAATTACTGCTCCATTTACCTGTATTATTCTTATTTTTGAATTACAGGCCAAACCACATGACACACTGGATCTCTGTGTAATTTTAAATGATAATTTGGCCCAGACTGTGCGTAGCCACCCCAAGAGGTTTGTTGGCCTCGGTACGCTGCCCATGCAGGCCCCTGACCTGGCTGTGCTGGAGATGAGGCGCTGTGTGAAGGAGCTAGGCTTCCCCGGGGTGCAGATTGGGTCACATATCAACAACTGGGACCTCAATGCCTCAGAACTCTATCCCTTCTATGCTGTAAGACAGTACATGATGACAGTACATGCTTTTATGATAACATCCTTTTGTAAGAATTCACTGTTGTGCATACATTTTGTGATGTTCATTTGTATTTAAAATCTGATTCATTGAGAAAAACTGATTTTGCAGTGCTTATCATTCCTGCAGGCTGCAGAGGAGCTGGGCTGCTCCATATTTGTCCACCCGTGGGACATGCAGACAGATGGAAGGATGGCTAAGTATTGGCTGCCTTGGCTGGTGGGTGAGGGAGATGGAGATGGAGCAGGCGATATTTAACATCACGTTCAGTCCAGTCAATAGCAAATGAAAACAATTTTCTCATGAAAAAGTGATCACTTTGTGATTATAGCGGATCCATATTTATCTATCTATGCATAACACACCAAACCAACTGCAAAATCCCTGCACTAATGTTATACACTGCCTCCTAAAATGATTGATGAAGCTAATGAAACCAAATCACCATATTTCCTTATGTGTTAACCCCCCACACTGTTGATTTATATGAGGATTTTATCTTTCACATCATATTTGCTTCACTGTGATTATGGCCAGTGGTGACAAATATTATTTTTACTTAACTTCTTCTGCTTAGTTTGCTGTCCACATATATGACCTTATAATTCAAGTGTTATCTCTATGATGTCATAGGAATGCCTTCAGAGACAACAATGGCTATTTGCTCAATGATATTTGGAGGCATCTTCGAGAGATTTCCAAAACTGAAAGTCTGCTTTGCTCATGGAGGTACAGAACACACAGAATCTTTCCTATAAATTTCATTTGCTAGATTGTCACAGCAGAAAAATATAAACACTATAGCATTTTTTTTTTTCATTTCATCCCAAAAAAATAAAAAATTCTTACTTTGTTTACAATTTAAAAATGATAAAAAGCCACCATGTCTTATCTTTTGAGCTTTAATGCCTTTATTAATCTGCCCACAGGTGGCTCTTTCCCATTTACCATTGGCAGAATTGAACATGGCCACAAAGTCCGCCCTGACCTGTGTGCAGTAGACAACACATTTAGTCCACGGAAATACCTTGGATCTTTCTACACCGACTCCCTGGTTCATGATCCCACCTCCCTAAAGCTGCTTACTGACATTATTGGAAAAGTGAGCTTTTATTCATCGTTCATTCGACGCACAAGTCCTGCGTTATTGGTAGTCAGAGCGGGTTCTCAGGTGGTACTGAGGGAGAATTGGCAGTTTTGAGAGCATGTCGGGGAAAATAACTCTTTGACAGTTATTTCTGGAAAACCACTTGCCATGGATACAGTAACTGTGTGCCTGGATTCTTTAAGAGTAGCACGTTGCTATCGTGATTTGTGGAAAACACTGGTGCTTCATAAAGGGGGTTATTTGTATTTTCAGCACTTGCACAGACATACTGTTAATATGTTCAGCACTAAACTAGTTTGCTTACTTCACATGTATGAATTCGTCTTCCAGGACAAAGTGATGCTGGGAACAGATTATCCATTCCCCCTTGGTGAGCTGCAGCCTGGATCACTGATTGAGTCAATGGATGAGTTTGATGACATATTAAAGGTAACAATTATTTCCTCTCCTTTATTTACACAATGCAGGAAAAAAAGGGTGGGGAACAACCTTGTTAGAATGTTAGAAGCCGTTACAAACATTTTAACAGCTTTATTTCTGTTAGTTTCCAAAATTTTGGTGTGTACATGACTGAATTCTGACTGTATTCATTTTGAAGCTCTTATTAAATACCCAGTCCAGTGTTTAATATAACGTGTACTCTTTTGTGTTGCAGGATAAATTGCTTGCTGCAAACGCACTGGAATTTTTGGGGCTGAAACGAGAGCAGTTTATGTAACATGATGCTGAGATGCAACAGCTTCAGTTGCCAGTGATCAAGTGCTAAGGCTTGATTTAAATATTTTTATTGGATGATTTAAAAAGCATTTTGATTGTACTGTACAGTAGATACAAGCAATTTTATTGTTGTTTAGTGTGCTAAAAATAACTATTTCACTCATGATTTTGTGAACTGGAATTGAATGTTCTCCCTGTGCAGCGTGGATTCTCTCCGGGTTCTCCGGCTTCCTCCCACACAGTCCAAAAACATGTTGAGGTTAATTGGTGATTCTAAATTGTCCATAGGTGTGAATGTGAGTGTGCTTGGTTGTCTGTCTCTAAGTGTAGCCCTGCGATAGACTGACGACCTGTCCAGGGTGTCCCCTGCCTTCGCCATAAGTCGGCTGGGATAGGCTCCAGCCCCCCTGCGACCCTAGTGAGGGTTAAGCGGTGTATAGATAATGGATGGACTTTGGGTGAAGGCAAGGGACAACCTGGACAGGTCACCAGTCTATCACAGGGCCACACTTAGAGACAGACAACCAAGTACACTCACATTCACACCAATAGACAATTTAGAATCACCAATTAACCGCAACATGTTTTTGGACTTGTGGGAGGAAGCCGGAGAACCTAGAGAGAACCCACGCTGCACGGGGAGAACATGCAAACTCCATGCAGAAAGATTCCGGTGCCCCCACCAGGATGCAAACCGGCGACCTTCTTGCTGCGAGGCAACAGTGCTACCAACTGCGCCACCTTGTAGCCCTAGAACAGTTTGTGATCACTCTAAATTATTTTAGCTTTGATTTTATATTGTGATCACGATTTTGAAAATATAATGTTTTTTTTCCATCTCTGTGAAAAGTCACATAGCAGTCACTGGCCTCAAGACATTCTGTAAGCTGATTATCCATCCATGAGTTATACCTGCTTTATCCTGAAGAGGGTCACAGAGGCCTGAAGCCTGTCATATCGGGTGACACTCACAGCCAACTTATTATTGGCAATTAAACTGCCATGCACGCATCTCTGGACTGTGTGGAGAAGGTGGAGCAGCTGGAGACAACCCCTAAAGTGACCAACTGGGGCTGTAAGGCAGCAGTGCTAACCATAGCACCTGAGCTATAAAAGAAAATGTTAGCATACAATAATGTCCCGAGGCTGCCATGGTTGGAAGTCACTTGTGGAAATGCAGTATTTTCAGTTTTTTACAGTACATGTATGTATATTCACAATATTTACTCATGCACATCTTATGGAACAACAGAGTTATCACTATTCTTTTTTTTTTTTTTAAACTTGATGAGAAGATAGCAATAGTCATTGACCGCAAAAAGTAGCAGAAAACTCCTGCTGGTCAATGTTTTTAGGGATACTTGCTATCCTTTCCTCCATGCAAAAACATATGCACACATAAACACAATGTCCAGAGGTTTTTCTTGACAATGTGACACACTGATTGTTAAAGCTCCTCTACCTTCATTGATGTCTTCTCAAAAACTCATATGTGTGTAAGAAAAGCTTTTTTCCCCCATGAAAGTAATCCCTCCCCTTATTCAAGTTGCTTGTGTGACCGTTGTTTTCTTTAGGGAGTATGAAAGTATCAAGTATGAAATCCCCAACACTTCCTCCTCTGCCAATCACTGCAGTTTAAACCCATCAGCACACCTTCATCACTGTTCAAACAATGTAAAACTATGCTATGCTTACAATGGCAAGTTGTAATATTGCAGTAAATCAGCCATATATCCTTAAACTGAAAACTGATTCTAAAGTGAAAAAACATGATGCAGATAGTTCCACCCTGCAAGATGACAGGGTTATTTCTTTAATTATGTTACATATTAAACTTGTTCATATCTTAGTCATGTGTCAACTGGTTATTTCACTCATGCCATGTCTTCCAGCACATGAACATGTAAACAAGGTGCAAAACTTGACTTTCACTAAAGGGGGGCTTTAACAAGTTTGAGATATGGATATCCTTTAACAGTTTAGCAGCTCAGAAAGCTACTGTATGTGACTGACTGATTCAAAGGAGTTTTTTTGGGGTTTTTTTGTCTGGCTAACATGAACTCAGCTCATTCAACATTCTCTCACCTTGGTCAAAAACAAACAAACAAACAACAACAACAAAAAACCCCAAAACAAACAAGCAAACAAAAAACAAGCAATCAAACAAAAAGTCAGATGAAACGTTGCAAATTGCACCTAAGCAGTGCAAGACTGACTCAACTGGGACATTACCGTACCGTTAAATCAAGAAATTAAAATATCTTGATTTAAAGTGAATGCCCAGCAAAGAGGAACCTTCAAGAACATTCCCTGGAGGCTCCTGTTTTCTGGGGTATGAATTTCTACAAAAAATAACTAGGGAACCTTGGGGGAACGTCGCATGAAGGTTTACAATAGGTTGCAAGTTTCTCGGCTGTATTTACCACAAACCACAACTTTGTTGTGCAATTCTACAAAAACTAACCCTCAGGAAACATTTAAGGGACGTTGTCTGAAAGCTCCCTAAAGGTTTTCTTTGGCTGGGTAAAAAGCTAAGATTTTCTGGATTCCGATGTGGCTAAGCATTTTTGGTTTATGGGATGTGTATTTTTAATTCTACAAATGCGTTTTTAAATTGCAAATAAATATAAGTAGATTTCAGACAACACCTATTGTTAAGTCGTGTTTTCCTGCGCGACACTGACGTCAGATCCGGTCTCTCGATGCCTCAGTGAACATTACAAAGTAATGGCGGCGTGCCGGGGATCTTCGTTGAAATGGTTTTTCACCCGGGAGCAACTCGAAAACACGCCGTCCCGCCGATGTGGAGTAGAACCAGACCGGGAGCTCTCCTACCGACAACAAGCGGCGAATCTGATCCAAGATATGGGTCAGAGGCTCAACGTGTATCCTTTGTAAACAAACTTATGCTCGACCAGACTGGAGGCAGACATGGCGGTACCTCACCGTTTTTGCGGGCCCGTTAGCTAAATTTGAACTGACGGCCGAGATTTGGGAGCGAAACAGGAGACTGTTCACTTTTTGTGTGTTATTGTTGTGATCATTTTTTTCTGTTATACTATATTAATCTTTATATGGTTACTCGGTGTCATTGTTTTACATTGGGTTATGTGGTAGTGTGCATGCTAGCTAGCTTGCTAGCTTACTAGCTGATGGTTGGCGTCTGAAAGGCCATTAGGCGAGTGTGCAGCTGTTGGTAGACTTTTGTCCACTTAACTAAAATTATCCACACGCCTGATAGAGCTTAATAGTCCTTCATTAAATTAAGTGGGCGTATATGTGCAATTGGTATTTGACAATTTCTTACAAAACACTGGAATGAATACATTTGATTTATATGACGCTAGTGTAAGTCACGCATCGTGCTACATAGGCTCAATTGTAAACTTTTACGTTCTCAGTCTTAAATAATTTTCAAACTGTAGTTCAGTGCTGCAGCTGCAGAATAAAGCGTGCCTTGGCTTGATTTAATAGCATATAACTCAAGCCCCTTTCAGTCTTCACTGTTTTCCGCCAATCTGAGGGAAACTCAACCTGTCTGCTTGACGTTTGAATACCAACCCGGTCACAGTCACATTAACTGATAGGCACAACCAAAGAGTCGTGTTAAGTGATGTAGGAAAGACTATTTACACAACTGTGTGCTAAAATCACAGCGCACCTTTATCATTCACTTTGCGCTACAAGTTTGATTTAATATAATTTCGGTATCTATAGTAACACCACTTTACTGCAGTAAAAAAAAGAAAGAAAGAAAGAAAAAAGAGCTGTTTAGATTAATCATACTCATTAAATATAAATGTAGTCTGGATGTTTTCGTTAACAGGAGCAAAAGTTTAGTTTGTTGCTTCTACCTTTTTTTTTTACTAAGGTTATTAATTTCCTGCACCCTCAGACAGCAGCAGCATCCACACGAGGGTTTCCAGAGCAAGAGAGTTGTGCACATTTGTGCACGTGGAACAACAGTGCCAGTGAATTTAGTAAATCCTTAAAATCATGAATGATCCCTGACATTAAAACAGGCTGGGTGAAGATCTAACAGTAAGACACACTGTGTGTATTACTTTGCTTTAGACAGGTTGTGTGCCATTTATAAGCTGCAGGTATTTCCTTTTTTGGACGCTACTGTCCTCGGTCCTTAGCCCCATCACAGCAGATGCCTTTTTTTTTTTTTCTGATTAGAGAAATTTTAAATATACCAGACTGTTAGTTATTTGGACAAAACTGCTATTAGTTTAGATTCAGTGATTTATTGTGGCAGTGTTATTTACATTTCTTGATGTAGTGCCCAAACTCACATGATGAGTATACCATGGTTCTCCCCGTCACTGTGGTGGGTATGTGTGAATGTAGCTGTGAGAAACCTTGACGGAAAAGTGACCTGAATGTTGTCTGAATGTCAGAATGCTGTCATTTTAACAGACTGATAAAGCCAGTGGTGTTGTACATCCATGTCAGAAAAGGGTATAGGTTTTTCATTCTGCACTTGGAAGTGTTATGTATGTATCTTGTTGTAATTCAAACTTTGCCTTGACTGACCATCCAGCTCTCAACTAACAATAAATACCGCAATTGTTTACATGCATAGATTTTATATGCACCACTCTTTCACCAAATTCCATAGGAATGTAAGTATTAAGAAATATAATTATGTTATTGATCTGCAACCTGTTGTCTCATGTTGGGTAACCTTTAGGTAGTTTGAGTGTTTTCTGTTCATATTTTGGTATTTTTGCACAGATAATATCTCCAACCACATTATTTTTGGCTGCAAAAGTGGAAGAACAACCTCGGAAACTCGAACATGTGATCAAAGTTGCACATGCTTGCCTAAATCCACAAGAATCGCCTCTCGACACAAAAAGTAATGTAAGTTCGGGTACCTCTGTATTCTGTAAGGCTGTCTTACCTGTTGTCTCAGTGGTCATGTTTTCCTTATGCATAAATGGCTGGCACATTCCCTTGCCCTGCACATTGGGCCTTATCTTTCCTTCCCTGGCCTGCAGTTGGTGTGTTCCAAACAACTACACCTAACAAGGCTTGCATTGATATTGAAATGAGCCTCTCTGTTTGGCATTTTGGCCATTTGAAATCAGTTGTTAGGGGGATAGATTAATAGACTCATTACAATTGTGTTGTAATGACTGTCTATCAAACTTCAGGCATACCTCCAGCAAGCTCAAGAGCTGGTGATACTTGAATCCATAGTGCTGCAGACCCTAGGTAAGTAGTGGTGACTGGAGTGGGTGACTGGAGAGCGCTTTGTTTATCATATTCATTTTCATTGGTAAATTATAAGTAAGGGAGTAGAGCTATTAATCACTGTTGATTTTTTTTTTGTTTTTTTTTGTTATCACAGCCTGTTGACTGAAATGTTTTAACATCTACTCTATGGCTTTCTTGTCAATTATATATTTTCAATAATTCATGTAAAGGTGACATGTCATTCTCCAATTGCTGACAATATCTATGAAACAGGGTATTAAAAAAGCTGTTGCAAGTCTTACCTCTACTTCACAGTTGCGCATTTTATTTTCTGACCAGAACAAATTCGGCTGACTTACTGATTACATTTGATACTAAGAAATCTGCCAGTTGCGCTTAATTTGTAACATAACTGAATTGACCATAACTTTTCACTGTTCACATTGTGCATATAGATGTGTACTAAAATCTGAATTGATGGCTTGAAATGGGGTTCCTCAATTGCCTGTTCAATCATAAAAATGACATGTCACCTCCCAACTGTGTGTGTGTTGAACTCACCTGTCATGTATTTTGTTCCAGGCTTTGAAATTACTATTGATCACCCACACACTGATGTGGTGAAATGTTCCCAGCTAGTGCGAGGTAGAGGCTTCCTTCTTTGCTCTTTGTGCCCTCTGCTCTTGTTTGTCCCACCTCAGATATGGGTGGGGAGGGGGGTGAAAACCTTGCTGATTTAATGGTTACATGACCACATACCTTGCTCTTTTGATGACCTTTTGAGCTTTTTGTATGACTTTACTTAAATGACAATGTATGCCACCACTTATTGGGCCAAGTCCAAGACTGATTTTTAATTTTTATTTTATTTATTTATTTTTTTGTCCAAAACTGACCCCCATCAAAAAAATTGTGCTGGTTCGGGGTGACATCTTAACAGTAGTCCTATGAGGTCACACAACTCTGTAAACAATGATGCACTTTGACTATAGATTGTGATTTTCGTTTTTTTTATTTATTTTTTAGTTGTTGTTAGTTGTATTGTCTGTAGCCGTTTTGCAGAGCAGGTAAGAGGAGAGTGAGGCAAAAATCAGCACTCGGAACTCTGTTTTTAATGATGTCAATAGTTTGCATAATACTTTGCATTATTGGACATAGTTATTATGTTAAATTCTATTATTGGAACACGACTAATATTTTATTTCAGCTTCTAATTGGCCTATGATGTATTGGTTACCGCTATATTGTGCAGCTGTCATATAGATCACAATGTGGCAAAAGTGTACAAAATCACAAATTATCAAATGCACGTGTAGTGCGGCAGACTTTGTGTTGTTGCTGGACAAACCCTCAATGTCTTTATCTTTCGGTTTACATGGAATTAATAATTGCAAACCTTATTGATTGTAAAATGGGAAAACAAAATGCTAATTATTTAATAATGTTATACATCAATCGTATTGAATTACCTGATAGTTTGCTCGCAGGCCCAATTAAACTTGCTGAAAGCTTCCAAAATGTTGCACCAGTTTGCATCAGTTTTTTTTTTGGTCCAGTCTTGGTCTTGGCTTAATCAGTACATTGAATGTCAGTTTGAAAATGATAAATGTTGTGTTCCTGTCCTAGTGATAATAAAGTGGTTTTGGTTTCCTGAAATTATAATAACTTTTCCCTTTCCCTGTCCTTCTCTTTCTTTTCTCTCTCTCTTTTACAGCAAGCAAGGATCTGGCACAGACTTCCTATTTCATGGCTACCAACAGGTTGTTATCCTGCCCCTCCTTTGTTGCACTTTGACTGCACACCATAGCTTCCTGTAATGCAGGGTACCCTTTCAGTGTCCAACGGGCCCTACTTGCACTGGTGGTTGTTGGGACGCTTGCCTCCTCCCCTCTGCTCCCCTCCCTCCTTGAGAGGTAGTGGGACATGGCGGCTTGTAGCGTTACCGGCCCCAGTCGCAGTGCGGTGTATTGTACAAGGGACCACGTGTTGGCACAGATGGGTTGAATGCAAAATGTGAAGTGTAGTGGTGCGCTTGAAACCCACATGTTTGTTCGGTTGCGAAAAGTGCATAATTCTAAAAGAAAGACACTTTGGTAGCCTGAATAGCAGCTAAAGATTTCACAGATGTAAACATTTCTCGTAGAGGTTCTTCCGGTAAGTACCGCAGATTAATTTTTAAAATGTTCTTTTTCATATTCATTTGTTCACATTCATTCTCTCTTCAAATACTTTTCAGCTTTTGTAATACTTTCTTGTCTTTAAATGCACATTTTTCTTTTTGTAGCGCTGCAACACTGTTCATACATTTAGTTTGTATAAGCTCAATGAAAACATAGTTGTGACCCATTAAGGACCTTCAGAATATCAAGGTTTTACCATTAGCCTGGGTTGGTCCATTTTAACCATGCTGTGCTAAACCAAGTAGTAGCTAATTTCAATAACAATTTCAACAACTCTTCATTTGAGAAAAATTTGGGATGGAGCTTTCAAGTAATTAAAACAACGTTAATATCATTCAAAAAATATTGTGCCAGCTAGTGCTGCTGGTGAGAACAAAGCTCTCTTTGCTCAGTCCTCAGTACTTGTGCAGCTTTACCTTTTCTGTCTGGTCTGAAGTTTACTTTCACTCCAGTGTTGTTTCTATTTTCAGATATCAGCCATACTTAACAGTTAACCATTTGGAGCTGTGTTCAGTTGTTGCTAATGCAATCTACACCTTTCTTGCTGTTGTTAAAAGCTTACCACTGGTAAACTGCCAGTAATTGTGAAGAAGTTATTCGAATGCAGTGTGTTTATCAGGCTAGTAAGGCTTCAATAGTGTTTCAAGGAAACAACTTTACATTGCTATTTGGTGCAGCATTGCTTGGCATGACCAACCTTTTCTGTGGAAAAACCCAAAATATCAGCTGCACATCTGAGCCATTTAGATCTTGCATACTGAGCAAAATGCATTTGTTGCTTATGATTTGTTCTTTAAGGGAGCGAAATGTCCCTCTTGACGAGTCTTTTATTAGAAAAACTGGGTCCTTAAAGGGTCAGTTTAAAGTTGGTGTTAGTGGGAAGCAGGTGACAATAATGTAATTTATTTCAACAACTTTCAATTATTCAACAATGTCTGGATGCTTACTGTGAATGATGTAATATGTTTTGGCACTTGGAAAGATTGAAAGCTGTGACATGTGACTTCAGCACTTTTACACATCTATTTTAACTTGGTCACAGATCACAACTGCAACTTTTGTAATTTAATTACATTATAAATCCATTTAAGATGATTTTGAAATGTCAGCTAATTCAGCCGTGACTGATTATTTTCTGTCAGACTTATCAGAGTCCAGACATTGTACTTGGCTCGTTGTACAAGGTTGACTTCTAGCCCTTATCGGATGTGATGACGCAATGTTATGAAAATTAGTTTCAAGACATTTGCATGCTGAGATGTGGTGTATTTTTAAATGTCTGGTTCGCCAAAGATTAACTTTTTGATGGTTATTTTGAAAAGTTTGTGTATGAAACTTTGCCATCAATACTTGGCGAATGGTAGCCAGTTTCCAGTTTTTATTTGTTTTTAATTGATTAAGCATATGTTTTTGTTTATCTGTGAAGTACACTGTATATTTGAACTCTTCCACAGCTGCAGAACAGTGTCACACATTCAATTAAGATTTACCCTTGAGTTGTTTAGCATTCTATTGTACTTAATTCACATTTTTGCAGTATACCTCAGTATTTACCCAAACACTGGCTGTGCCACTACTAAGTTGTATACCTTGATTTGGACAATCCCATAGGTTTATCCATTTGAATGCAGTCCAAAGGAAGAGAGGCCCATGCAGATAGGGTTGTAGGAGTAGCCCCTTGTCAGATAACTGGGCAATGATGTAATTGTCACATGGGTGGCCTCATGGTCAGTATGTTTCACAATGGACAGACTACACTTATTACACATGGTCCCGTGCCTCACTTCCCTCACTTTGTTTTTATGCCCTAGCAGTCACGTTTTGTGATTGCTAAAATTGTCACTTAACAAAAAATGGCTTATTGCAAGCACCAGGAATTATGTTCTCATTGCACCTGCATCTAAGGTATCATGTTTATTTGATTATAGAGGGAACTGTTTGAAATAAATATTACATTATTAAATCAGCGCTACTGTATCAACATGTTCAAACAGCTTATCTTTGAACAGTTATGCTAAATTCTTACAACTTATTCCATCAGTAAGTTAAAACTGTCTGCTCCCTCTTGTGTTTTTTTTTTCTTTTCTCCACATGTGGGACCAATCCTGACCACACCTGGCCTGAATCAACTTCACCTCACTCACATACATTCACCCTCACATATAATACTCTTTGCATACCTTCACTCACTCACTATGTAGTCTACACCTCACTACCTTCTGCCTCCAGTACAAGCCCACAGTGATTGCCTGTGTATGCATCCACCTGGCGTGTAAATGGTCCAACTGGGAGATCCCAGTATCTACTGATGGGAAACACTGGTGGGAGTACGTGGACAGCTCAGTCACTCTTGAGCTGCTTGATGGTGAGATGGAAGTTTTTTTCTTTTTTACTTTAATGTGTTGTAATACAGTATGTGATTGTAATGAATTGGAAAGCTGTTGGGTATTTCATTTTCAAAGTTTTGTACCACTGTATAGTGGGTAATATTTAAACCAGATTTTCCATTTATGCAAACAATATTCAATTCACAATTAAAAGTACAACGCAGTTTTCTACAAAAATTAAAATGGCATTTTCCTTTCAAAGTGTACAGTAGAAAATATTCAAATGCAATTAGCTCTCACAGTCTGTTGCATTTATGTCAACGTGTCACCACTCTTTTTAATAAAATGCTCTATAGTTGTGTATAATTTTTTGTAAGCATTTTTACCAAGAATAACGTCATTGAATTCACGTTACAAATGTATGAATGATATTTGAGGCAGTTGCATTGTATGACTTTAGCCACATAATTCTCAAACATTTATATCTTGTTTCTGCAGAGCTGACTCATGAGTTTCTGCAAATTCTGGAGAAGACGCCCAGCCGGTTAAAGAGGATACGCAACTGGAGGGTAGGATACTTTGCTGCACTGTTTGTCAGGCATTGGAAGGACATGATAAATCTAAAACTTTCATTTTTATTGATTAGCTCATGATGTACAAAGTGTTTTTGTTTTTGTTTTTTAACCAGAAAGCTGCAAAGCAGTTTAAATTTACACCCTAGTCCCTAATTAAGGATTTATCCCTTTGACAGTGTTAGTTGTAGATATCTCAGAACTCAGGCTCCTTATTGGTCACTGTGGGTAGCTTTCACACTGGGTGAGTGGGGCTTGCCTAGTCATAAAGCCGATTGTGGGTTTCCCCCTTTCCCACTGAAGATTTGTTTTCCGGTTACAGTTTGCATGTTTGATGTCTACAAATGAAATGTCAATGGAGTACCACTGCTAAACAGAGTTAAAACACAGTGAGCCAGCTGGGTGAGTGACAGGCGGTGGGTGGATCAGTGTCAGCAGCACTGGCAGCCTAAACACTCATTGTGGGAGATTCATATTTTTATGTGGCCAAGCCCTGAAAGCTCCAGACCAGTGTTCCCAGGGTTGTGTTTGCCATGACAGCAGGTGTTGTGAACCCGTTTTTAAAGACATTGACACCTTGTAAAATGTGATTTAAAAACAGAATGCAATGATATGCAAATTATTTAATTTCTGTGTTAAATTGATAAACGCACAGTAATCATATCAAATGTTGAAAATAATTTTGAAAAAATAAGTGTGTTCAATTTGCCAGCAACACATTTTCAGAAGAGTTATAATGGGGCATGTGTACCACATTTTTTTCCTTTATGTCTTCTTTAACACTCTGTGTTTGGGAACTGAGAAGACCGAATGCTATATTTTTGAAAGTTAAATGTTTTCCCACTTATGGTTGATATAGGGCAGGCCTATTCAATTATTGTTTCTTCTGGGCCAGATTTGAAAATTTTCAGATGCTACTGGGCCGAAGACCCCCTACTTATATTATTTCTCGAGACTTAACTCTAAATATGTTACCACCTGAACTAAATCATAAAAATAAATAAAGGAATTCACAATAAAGGCTTTATACTGCAGAATTTGTTGACGAGCAAAATAATTCAAGTGCATTGCAAATTTTAACAGTTGGTCCAAACCTTGACCAGAATATTTTTTAACAAGAAATCTGTTCACCACACATATGTTTAGTAAAAAATAATGTGGCACAACTTTTTGCAACAGTAAAGTCTTTTATAACATTTTAGATGCATTTGCAAAAGTGCGTTTGTTGAACTAGAATGGCCAACTGAGGAAGTGCATTAAATATTTCAACAAAAGAAATTGCACCAAGTGAACATTTAATAACTGTAAAATGAAAGCTTCTTCTGCATATTCAAAGTAATGCTGATTTAACGTCAGTGTGAGAAGTGACATGTTTTGTTTTGAACAATAGCAGTAACGTTTGGCTCATACGAAGTCAGTGCAATACGAAGGCAATGGTGCAGGGTGGAATCAATCATGAAGCATCGCAGGTTTGACCTGATTGCGTTCATGTGAGAAAAACTTGATTCACACACATACGTGGAGCCAAACATGCTAAGCACAGTAACAGGTTTGGGAACTGGTGAACATTTATGCCACTCCAAAACTTGATTGCTCCGTTTGTGCGCAGCTCTTCGGGCAGCAATAGGGATGACTGCATGTCCACAAGTTCAAGAATGACCAGCCCCTCGTCAATAGAAGGGACCACTGCCTTTGCGCAGGCGGACAGATTATCGTCTGTAGCAAGAGCAGAAAATGGGTCTTTGGTAAAACGCTTCACCTCTGTAGGGAGTGATAGGCCATCCAGCCGGCTGGCAAAGTTGTCTTATAGTTTCGCAACTGAATCCGTCATCGCCGCTGTGACAGGTGCCGTAGGTGTGATGCATTTGTGTAGCGTAGGAAAATGCAACATTCTTCCTGAGCGCAAGTCTGCAGCAAATAGTTCTAGTTTGGCTTGAAATGCGCGCGTATGTTCCACCAGATCAATGATGGTTTTCTCTCTGCCCTGTAGTCCGAGGTTTAGCCGATTTAAATGTGTGAACAAATCAGATAGGAAACACACGTCTGCCATAAAGTTTGTGTCCATTATGCGGTTTAGGTGTGCTTTTGCTTTTTTTGCTTGCTGTCATGAAGGAAAACTGTAGTCTCCTTGAGCAGAAGCGCTCCAACGAATTCCCTTTGGATAGCCGTGTAATGTCGTTGTGGAGAAGTGAGTCGTGATGTTGTGCGGAAATGTCCGACAGCAGCTGGCGAAACAAGCAATGCTGGAGACTTGAGGTTGCGCGTATGAAGTTTACAGTCGCCATAACATTGTCCATTACACTTTTGAAGTGTCCATTTAGTTTTACACACAGCACGGCCTGGTGCACAATACAGTGCAATGCTGTCATCCTCGGAGCAACAGCTGTCCACTGCCCAGTCAGAGATGGAGCACCATCAGTCACAAGCATGCAGACCCGAGTCATATCCAACCCGTTGTCTTGAAAGAAAGACGAGATTTTATCAAAGAGCACCTCACCGGTACTGTGACCTTTGAGGGGTAGAAGGCAGAGCAGTTCCTCGCGAAAACACCGGTGTCCAGCATCATAGAAGCGCACATACACACACAGCTGTGCAGTGTCAAACCGATCTGTTGACTCGTCCACTACGATTGACATAACTTCAACTTTTTTCAGGTCGCTCAGCAGAGCCTCAAACATATCTGTCGCTAATATTTCGACTCTGCGCATGTTTGAGGTATCTGATAGGGGCACGCTTTTGACTGCAGATGTCACACTGGCTTTGACTTTATCGTCGTGGATTACCTCATCTAATATTACAATTATGCAGTCTCTAACAGTTTCAGAATCAGTGAAGGGTCGTTTTTTTTTTTTTGGCGAAATTCCATGACACTCACAGTGAAACAGCCGTGGCCCTCTCTTGTGCTGTAAATGTTTTCACTAATGTGGAACAACTTCTTTTATAAGATGCTAGCAGGCTCTGCACCTTAGTCGCCCTCTCCTCTGTCCCTTCAGGACATGCTGTCCCAAAAGCTCTGTGTTTCTCAACATGGTGCCTCCGAATGTTATGTTCTTTTAATACTGACAGCCTTTCAATGCAAATCAAGCACAGTGGCTTAGAGTTCAGTCTTTGGGCTAATATAAACAAGTATTTTTCAGTCCAGGCAGGGTTAAAACGGTGATTTTCATTGTCAATTTTACATTTCTGACCTGTCAGTGACATTTTTTCGCGGTTGTCGTACTTGGAGAGAGTATTCTGGTCTGGCGTTGCTACAATACTGAAAGCGGTACGTTCAAGGACAAGAGGAACGGTGGGAATTTTAAAAACTCTCACAGCTCGGGTGCCTGATAGCTCAGCGGGTAGGGCAGGTGACCCATATACAGGGGCTATAGTCCCCGACGCAGTGGCCCGGGTTTGATTCCAGCCAGCGGCTCATTTGCTGCATGTCATTCCCCCACTCTCCTCCCAACGTTTCTCTGTCTGTCTTTCACTGTCACTATCATTAAAGGTGGAAAAGCCCAAAAATAAATCTTTAAAAAATAAAAGTAAAAAAATAAAAAAACAACTCTTACAGCAAATATGATTTAAATGCGTTTTTGCGACTTACGTTGGGTAAGTTGGGGATGGGCCAGTCAAAGGGGGTCCGCTAATTGAATAGCTTTGATATAGGATCTCAGCTGCTCAAAAGTTTCTTTGTCATATTTTGTTTCATAATACACCAAATGTTTTCAGTGGGTAACAAGCATAGATCTGCAGGCAGGCCAGTGTAGTCCTCTGACTCTTTTACTATGGGGCCATGGTGTTGTGGTGCAAAATTGATGAAGTCAGTAAGGCCTTTTCCAAAAAAGTTGGCATTTGGATGATGGCATATGTTGCTCCAAAACCAAATATATATCTTTTTGATTTATTTTTGATATGCTGTCTTTGCATAATTTTCAGTTAAATTTAGTTTTACTCAGTCTGTTTTTATTTACATCTTACACAGTGTCCTAACTTTTTATGCAACAGGAGCTTAAAAAGGGGGTTGTAAAATTTCAAATACTTTATGCAGAATTACATGCTGCAAAAAAAATCCTGCCACTTCAAACATTTTACAAATTGTCCTTGTTTTACGTCAGAAAAAGGTAGCAGTTGCCTAAAACGATGCTCTTCACATCCTTCCAAATCTTTCTTCCCTCTAGGCAACACAAGCTGCCAAAAAGCCCAAGAGTGAAAATGCCCAGTTGACGGACAATTCATTTGCTGGGCCTTCAATGCTCCAGGACCAGGGTGATGCTGCACTTTCTGGAGTTCCCTCATCCAACCCAAGTTTTTCCAAAGCAGGCGCTGCTTTCCCTGTGCCCATGCCTGGCCAGTCCAGAGGAGCACCTCTGTCTCTGGACACCATGGCTGCCACATACCATCCAGCCAGCCATAGTGAATGGCCCCAGGGCAACCAGAGCCAAGCAGGGTACCCTTCTGCCTGTATAAAACAGGAACCCCTCAGCATCCCTCTCCAGGAGCCGACACTCTCCTTGCAAACCTCCACTTCCTCTTTGCTACAGCAGCCGCCTATGTACAGGACAGAGAAAACAGTGGATTTCAACCCTGTCAAACAAGAACAAAAAACTACTGGTGGGAGTAGTGTGAGCAAACATCAGCCACCTCAGTCTGCTTTCCCTCCACCAGCTCAGCCTCCTCCACCACAACCTTCTCCAGCTCAGAAGCTGTCTCTAGACAAGTACAGAGAGAAACATGCTGCAGAGCTGGCTGTCTCTGGACAGAAACGTAGGCAAGAGCAGCATGAAAGAATAATGGACTTTGAAGCGAAGGGGGATTTGTTGTCCTCTTCTACCTATGCACCATCCACTATGAGCCAAGTAGACCATAGAAAACATTTGCAGCCCCACCAAACATCTCATGGTGGTGGTGGCAGCACCACTGCCTCCCCAATGAAAATGAAAGTCCCTTCCTCCTCATCATCAGGGCAAGATAGACGCCATCACAGTGACAAACGGGACAAAGGCTCAATTAAACTCCGCCTGGCTGTTCCTGGGTCCAGCGGCAGTTCACAGCTGGATAAAAGTGGACAACCAAGCAAAGATGAACTTAAGATGAAGATAAAAGTTTCATCATCCGAGCGCCACAGCTCATCAGATGAAGGCATTGCCGCCAACAACAACAAGAGTAAACATTCCAGCCCGCTGGTGAGCAAGGAGAAACAGCATCGTGGAGCGGAGCACAACCCCCATCGCTACCACAAGCACAGTAACCCCCACCCGCACAGTGGCAATGGACGAGGGGGCACCGAGGGGCCAGGTGGTGGGGTAGGCCTGTTGCGGGGGCCTCCAGGATTGGTCAGCCTGGAGGGAATGGCACTTGCTCCTCCTGGATCCACATCTTCTTCACGCAAGAGGGTTTACTCCGAGGCCAGCCACAACCACCACCCTTCGTCCTCATCCTCCACTTCTTGCTCCAAAGTGAGCAAAATCTCCAAGGGTGGCACTGGTGCTGCAGGTACTTCATCTTTTTCTCCCCCCTTTTTTCCTCCTTGCTCCTCTCCTGTACTGCAGTGTGTCTCATCTGGCTTGCAGCTCTATGGCTAACCTCCATCCCTCCCTCCCTCCCACCCTCCTTCTTCTCCTCCTTCTCCTCATTCTTGTTTCTCCTCCCCCCCCTCCTGTCACACCCAGGTGGGCTGCGGACCTCTCAGCAGTACCCTCCTAGTGAATCGCCACATGAAGTGGGAGAGCAGAGACACTGAGTCCACCAATTCTGCAGCCATGGCCAGCACATGGAAATGGCAACAAACTACCCACAGCTCAGACTATGCTCACCTCTTTGTTAAGTGCCCTAGGAAAATAACTCTTTATGTGATGATAAACCCTTTATTGAAAGGCAGAAAAAACTTATCTGCAAAAAAAAAGAAAAGTATTGTTGGACTTCTCAATTTCTGAGAGACAAATAAGGTGAAAATATTATGCTTCCTGACTGTCACATGTCTGGGCTGTAGGGCTCAGTCCTGTGTTTCTGTTAGTGTGTCAAATTGCTGCTTGGTTATTCTTCCTCCTCAAATGGGTCTCGAAAATGTGCAAGGTGGGTGTGTGTACGTGAAAGGAAAGGGTTGTGTGTGCGCTTGCATCAGGAGGAAAAGTCCCTTTCCTACATGTCAGATCTCCATATGGGAAAACACAAGTATTACAATTACCATAAAAAGCATGGAAGGTGCACTTTCTTCATTTTCTTCCTTTATTTTTAAACAAGTAATTTAATTGAATCACATTTCTGCAGTTGTATGGAGGAAGCTAGTGGCCAGCTAGAGATGAATTCAGTTTATGTTTGCTGGCATTCCATTTAGTACTGTTGGATGCAGATATTTTTTTTTCGGTGTAAAGTTTCATCTCCTCCATTACTTTCTTGTCTTGGTTTCTTTTTATACTTAAGTACTGTGCATATGATTTGCATGTTTCAATCATCAAAGGGATTTAAAAAGAGAGTGCTTACTTGCTGTTTACAGAAAATGGAGATAAATGTACATACATTTTTGTATGTTTAAAGAAAAAAAAGCTATACTATGACTACTCAGGTTTGGAGCTGCTTGTAAGTATAACAAGATAAATATAATACCTATAAAAGAGTTTTATTTTGTTGATCAGTGGATTGGGCATCATCTTGTGAATGATTGCAGCATTCCAGTGGTGTGTGCTTCTTACAGCCTTGCTATAGACAGTGATGTACTATAGGTTTCCATCACAGGAAATATCAGTTGATCCCCTCAGCAACTGGCACATCCAACACCTACTTATCACATCAGAGAGATGCAATTTGTACCAAAAAATATTTTTTGGACCTCTAAGTAGACCTTAAGCTGGATGCCAAAGGTTGTGCCTCAAAAAGAAAAAAAAAAAGCTGATACAGACAGTAGTAGTGTGCTCTTAAAGTTTACATAACCCTTTTTACTTTGAAGTGCATGAGACATTTCATGACATGAAGCTGTAGCCCCTCTGATGTCAGCCCAAAAAGGGGACACATTTCTTCAATCAACCATGACTGGGGTACTGTTCAGGAAAAATATTGCTGGCTTATTTCAACGTTAGAGCAGTGACTAATTGGCTGTATGCAAGATGATCCCCCTGATATGTAGGAAACCTCAAGTATCTGCAATGTTGACATGCTTGATAGGTTTTTGTGTCTCTGACTTCCTCATCTAAGTGGTTGAATTTACAATTACAGCAGTCCAGACACAGCGTCCCATCACTTTCATACAGTAAACACTCTGTTGTTTAATATCTTGACATCACCAAGTCCCCTCTGTTCCTGACTGGGGTACTGTTTTGTTTTGGAGTGTGCAAAATACGTAAAAAGACTGAGGCTGAATTGTTTGTACCCTGCTTAGAGACTTACAGTTGGGCACAGAACAAGGGCAGTTTTAGACAAATGAGCATAAGCCACTCTTCTCATCCCCCCCTTTCATTTCAATATTCCAAATAAACTTCGAAGTTGCCACTACCCTGACACTATAAATTCTGGTTGTTTGTCATTTTATCACACACAGTGTTGTCGATCCATTTGCCGAACTCTAGGAGAAGAGACACTTTGTATTGTGTTGAATGTAAGGAAAAGCTGTCAGTAGCATGTTGTTTGAGCACAATTGTGATTTCACATCGATTCAAACGAAAAGCTAAAAAGTAGTAGTTCACATTTGATGCTTATTTCATTGTTATACTGCAGTATAGATATGACATTTTATCAAAACATTTATAGACCATGCAGCACAGAAACCTGTAGTTGCACTGTATAGATTTACAAAGAAGGTATAAAATTGGCACATTTATAAGAAAACTAGAGAAAAAAACCCAAGTTAGTCACAAAAATCTGTCTATTCATTCACATTTTTTAGGTTCTATTGTATCAAAAAAAATTATAAAAGTGCTTTTATTTTGAAACTTCCATCCTAACATTGACACTATTGCTGCTTCACTGGTGATAGGTGCTGAGCCCTTCTTGGCTCACAAAACAATACTGGATGTTTTGAGTCACCAGTATGAATCAACTAATCTAATGCCCTCTTAAACATTTTAACTCCTGATTGAACCACACAGTCCCTCTGAGTGACCACAGCAGTTCTTCTTCTGCGTTTCCCAAGAATTCACATCTGTCTCGTTTTTGGGGATGAACGAATGTTTCAGCAGCTGGTCAGCTGATGGACGTAGTTTCTGGTCTCTAGAGATGAGAGAAAATCAATGGGAATTAGAGATGAGAACTTGCCTCTCTGATGTAAATCAGACTGAGGTTACGAAAGACATTTACCAAGGTTTGTGCTTAAAGGAGAGGACAGCAGATCTCACCTTGTCAAGCAAATATTCACAAAATCTTTGGCATTATCTGAGAATGCATCTGGTAAAGAAGGCATCAGCCCTCGCTGAGCCCCAATGTAGAACAAGGCAGCCATCTTGTCCATGTGTGCCAGTGGGGGTTTGCCTGTTGCCATTTCAAACACTGTGCAACCCACACTCCATATGTCAGACTTCCTGCCATATCCTGTCTCATTGATAACCTAAGGCATGGAAAAGATGAAGGAGCAGTTAGGAAAGGTTGAAAACTAAGTTTATCAAACTCATGCAACTTAACAAAAACAAAGACCACCTGGATGGGTCCTGTTTACCTCTGGTGCCATCCAGTACGGTGTGCCATGAACAGACTTGAGCAGGTCTCCACTGTTAGAAGCTGTGTGGTTTAGAAAACTGAGACGTCGTGCACAACCAAAGTCTATGAGCTTGATGATGCCAGTCGGCATCAGCATGACGTTGTTTCCCTTCAAGTCCCGATGAATCACCCTGTTGAGGTGAAGGTAGGCCACCCCCTCCAGGATCTGATGGGTGTATAGAGCCAGGACTCGCTCTGGCAGTGGACCAAACCTGGGGGCAGTAGAGAACATTGTGTATTGAAGGCACTTGTAGTTTATAACAGATGAGGCAAGCGCTACTTGTCAACAGAGATGTCATGCTAAGCAGTCGAATGATTTAACTGCGAACCTGTGAAGGATGCTGGCAATGGATCCTCCTGGGATGTACTCCATGAAGATGGAAACCACGTGCTGATAAAGCGAGGTCCCCAGGAAGCCTACGATGTTGATGTGACTGAGAGTTTTAAGCAGCTCCACCTCACCCCGCAGGCGACTGTACTCTTTCTTTGCAGCATCAGGGTCGGAGGAATCCAGGCTCACCTGCTTCACAGCTATCAGCTGGCCCTGACTGGTGAGTCCACAGTACACCTGGTAAGAGAGAGCTGGTTGAACATGTAGACCTTCAGATGTGGATGATTTGGGGATTTGTGTAGGATTAATCTGTTTTGCGTGGTTGTATAAGGAGATGACTTTTCATTTGAATAGTGAAAGGCGGTAAGTTCTTGTAGTTGAAAGACCTACAGAGCACAAACTTACTGTGGCAGATGTTGGTTATTCTTTACATCAAGCAAAATCATTTCTTCTGCTTTTATCAGCATTTTTGAACACTGGAATACTTACTGTGCCATAGGCGCCCCTGCCGAGCACTTCACCCTTTGTCCATGTGATGGTGCCGTCTACAGCCAACCCAAAGCCAAGCAGAGCACAGGTGTCAAGTGGAACAACCTACAAACATACACAGAATGATAGTTAAAGTAACTGGGAGCCATAGGAGTTAACATGCAGAGTGAATCAGCTGAGCATCACTGAAAGATTGTGAAGACATTTTACTAAAAACAAAAAGGTTTTTGATGATCATTTTAACGGTGTCACTCTTCAAACGTAGTCTTTAGCTCCAACCAGGAAAGACTCTACAAGACTTGATGTAAATCATCACACCTCTCACAGCTCAAAGGCTTTATACATTTTCCCCCCCACATATGCAGTAGTAAAGACTTGTAAACAGACTTTGTCATATGAAATCAGATGAGTCCCCTTTTACAGAACTCCTTCCGGTAAAAGTCAAGTATTTTACCTTGTTGACATCTTCATATGGTGTTTTTTATTTGCTAGGAGATGCACCATAAGTGATACAAGCTGTCAACACAATGTCTGAATATTATCACCTTTAAACTGCAATATACCAGTGATAGTCTCGAAAACAACCATTTGTCACGGTCAGTTCTCACATAGCCTCACTTTAAAGGGATTACCCAGTGTTTTGTTTTTTGTTTTTTTTTTCAAACATAACGTTTTAAATCAAGACATAACGTTTTAAATCAAGTACATTTAGGCCTGGTCAACAGTAATATGGATATTTTACAAAACATTTTTCTCTACGTTTGAGCCACACATCCACACAAAAGGTCACTGAAAGTTTTTCTTTTAAACAACTTCTAAAGTGAAGAGTTGTAAAAACTGGTTTGTGTGTATATGTATATAAAATAGCCTCACTGTTTTTAGATGTCTTTCTCCCCTAAACAGTCCAAAAAAATGTGTACTTATAAAGTAGTTATGCCATATACTGTGATAATGACATTGATCCTTCATTTACTTTTTTTTTTTTTAACTGCAAAAAATGGACCTCAGGAAATGCATTTAATCCTGATGCAGGACCAACCTCTTTGTTGGACTCCGTTCTGCTCTGTTCCAGGTTATCAGGAAGTGGTCCTACAGATACATCTCTCTCATCCAGTGAGATCAGCTCCTCTGCCAGACACTGCAGTAGGTCATCTGTAAGTGGCCCGTCCCCCGCCTCATCTAGAAACTTCTGGTAAACTGGTGACATGATGGTTTGGCTGCCGCTGCTAGACGATGTCCATGTGTTGATCTTTGGCTGTTGAGGACTTTGAGATAAGATGGACTCTGGGATTGGCCGGTGTGCATTTACCGTTGATGAATTTGCATTTGTTTCTTGCATAAACATGTGTGTGGGACTATAGTCTTGAGCATGAGGGGAAGCTGTTGGTAGAGTTTTGCCATCAGATTTTAATGTTTCAGACTCATACCTTAAAAGAGCCTCCTCTATGGTAGATGACATGTGACTGTCATGCTTGTCTTGTGCAGTGTTATGATAGATGTCTACATCCTTTGTAAGGACTAACTCAGCCTCTAGTTTAGGAATATTCTCTGTTTTGTTGTTTGACACAGGTGTGAGGTGAGGCTTCATCCTGGACGACGCTGATTTTGCTTTGCTTTTAGCTGAAACTAGCGTACTCTCCTCTGGGCTTTTCCTTAGTTTACTCTGTGCTGGTTTCAGTGGCCTGTGTTTGACCTTATGACTCTGGTTTGTCTTCCTAGATGGACAACACTGCACTGGTTTCTCCACTGGTTTTTCACAAGAGCTGGAAACCCGGAGGTTTTCATAGATCGGACCAGAAAACATCTCATAGATGGCTGGCCCTTCATTCACATTCTGTATCTGCTGAAACATGTCTTTGTAGGTGATGAGGTCCACTGCAGATTTTGACCTTGGTGTTTTCTCGCCTACACAGGACTTTTTCAGCTGCTGGGCACTTTTCATCTCCCTCACTGGTGTGTGCTGTTGAGTTCTGTTGCAGTTCAACTTGTCAGGATTTGTTCTTTTACACTGTGGATGATCCATCAGCTTCTTTCGTGGTGATGGTGTACTGGTGCTACAATGGGCGCCTTTAACAGATTTAATCTTTGATTTTACTTTAGTTAAAGGGACTTCTCTGCCAACAGCTAGCTCAGGGCTCTTCCTGGTTTTATCTTTGACTTGAGTGGAAAATGAGCAGTACTTCAGGTTGCTTTTGGACTTATTCCAGCAGGGGGTGCTTCGATTTTTATGTGCCAATGTGTTAAAAGACTGGATAGTTTGGCTGTTTGTTCTCTGGTCACAGTTCATGCTGGTTCTTTTCTCCTTGTGCTGGGCAAGCTTTAAGGCTTGAAACATTTTCTCGTCTCTTTTGGGATCCACATCAGACAGATTTAGATTTACAGGTGCAGGAAATAGCCGAGTTTTTCCCACAGCAGTTGCGGTTTTTAACTTTGCATCCACTGCAGTACAAACAAGAGGTTTGTCTGCCTGGTTTTCTTCATGACAGGAATCCTTCTTGTTCTGTTTCACATGCTGCAATTCATCTGTATATTTCCATTCAGAGCACACAGTGGCATCATCTTGGTCATCATTCACAGTAAATGTAATTCCATGGCTCATCTCGGTCTCAGACTCTCCAGAGTAGTCCACATTGCTCTCTGTTGTGATAGGTATTTCATTATTCACAGATATTTTAGCAAGAATCACCGTGTCTCCTTTTTGTGCACAGATTTTTTGGGCCTCAATGTCAGCAGATTCTTTTGTATAATTTATATGGGTTGTTTTGCCTGCAGAGTGAGAGTTCATCATTTTTTCAATGCAGAGAGGCTCACTTGTTTGATTGATAAGGTCTTCCTCCCGGTTACATGCTGATCTGTGGCTCAGTGGAACATGGCTCATCCTTGGCTCAGCTTTAAAATGCAGCCTTGTCTTTCCAGCCAGTTCAGCTTCAGAGGAGTTTAAACCCTTTGAATGCTGCAACAATCCATCCCCAAAAAACTTTAGATTTCTGCCTTCAAAATTTCTCTCATGTACATCCCTGTCATCATCCTCATCCTCCAGGTCGACAGAACTCTGGCTGCTGCTGCAGCTGGATCCACTTTCTTCACTGCCAGCTTTAGTGGTCAGAGGGCTGCTGCCCCAGGACAGCCTCTCTCTCCTCAGCTGGGTCCTGGAGCAAAGGGAGCTCTGGCTGATGGGCTTCAGGGGGACACGTTGCTTTAGTACTGTGGTGGCTCTGGGTCGGCCATCCAGGGGTGCCAGCAGCTTGGGAGTTCGTAGAACTGGCAAAAAACCCTGTGAAAACAGTAGAAGACCAATAATTCAGTGATAATGACTGGAGAGTTACACAAACTCCTATGTAGATGAAAAGAAGAATGTAAGTCTGACAAAAAAAAAAAAGATGGGTGAAGTTGATGTTTTTGGTTAAAACTCACCTTTTGCTCATTTACAGCATTTTGAGAGGCCAGCCCTGCAGACAGAGAGACATGACACATTTTAAAGGGAAAACACAATCATGTGTAAGCGCTATGAGATGACTTGTTGTTGTAAATATGCACGATACAAATAAAATTAAATTGAAAATTGAACTGAATTGAATCATCAGCAAATACATATATATATATATATATATGTGCACACACACATATATTTTACTCAAATACAGTAAATTCTGAGTTCTATACATGAGTTCTACATATATGCATACGACTCTGGATGTGTGCTCTGGCCTGCGTCATAGTGTTCGGACACAGTAGTGGTTCCATGATGCTGGGGGCAGACTGGCTGAGCTGGCTGGACTCCGCCACTGACAACAGGCTGTGGGAGGGTGGAGAGGCAACAACCACACTTCTTGTTCTCTGTCTGTCAGGGACAAATCAAAATCAATTTCAAGATTTTTTGTGAGCATCACAGAGCTGTTGTGCTGTTGTATAAGAAGTATTCACAATGTTTTAACCTTGTTCCTCTTGAAATTTTAACTCAAAAATTCCTTCAGGTTTAGTTTTCAACTTTAGGTTTTAATATCTTAGATTTCGGAATCTAAATCTAAATCTAAAGGTTAATTTTCTTCCACATTTGCCAATATTACCGGTACTTGAATCACAGGTGTAGCCAAGAGCTGTTCTGTTGAGGGACTCGTGCAGTGTAATGTCGTGTGTGAAGTGTATTCAAATGCTTGAGGCTTGGTTTGGGGTCACAATATGTTGTTTACAGCCACTTAGAGACATCTGTGCTGTAATTTTGTTTATAAAAACATAATAAAGAAAGAAAAGGTTGATTTTTCTCTTAGTATATTTAATCTAATGGTTCATTTCTATGCTAAAGCCGCACCCCTCTATTTACATGTGATAGTAACAAGCAGGGCAACATTTATTGATTTGTCTCCTTAATTAATATATAATGCTTAAATAATATGTATAATATATATTTATTTATATTGCACTCTAACAAACAAGGGTTTACAAAGCACAGACGAAACAAAAGTAGGACACTCAGAAGATACATAACAACACTTAAGGTTAAAACAAGAATACAACAGAAGCAAAAATTAAAAATGCAATATGTCAATAATAATAAATACAAATAAGATAATAAATGAATAAAGCCTCAGTTAGAAATTAAAAGCTTAAGCAATACAGAAAGTCAAGGAAAATCAGTGATTTAAAAGAAATCACTGTTTCTGCAGTCCTTGTGTCCTCATCCTCATTTCAGAGCTGAAGGGTCCTGATGGCAAAAGCATCCTTAGATCTAAGCCTCAGCTTTGGAGCAGCCAAAAGGACCCACCTGAGGATCTAAGGCTGGACCTGGGCGACATTCAACTACCTCAGTCAATGGAGAGAAACCAAGTTTGAGGCGATGTGATGTTGTCTGCTAGAGCCTTTCTTTTAGCTTCTGGAGTATAGCAAGTGTGTGTACCTGTGTGTGGGGGGTGTCGGCTGGCAGAGAGTCCTGGTGCTCAGCAAGCCAGGTGTCGGAGGAGCATCCACATGAGCCCAGTGTCTGCTGGTTTTGCTCAAACTGGGCAGAGACATACCTCTGCTGAGGGAAACAAAGTCATATCATCAGTGTTGCCAGTAGGAGAGAGTATGTGTGTGCTAAATGAAGTGTGTTGGGGCCCATTTGTGAAATTCCTATAAACAATAATTATTTAAGAAAATGACCTTCAAGTTCTGTTTTTGAGGACAAAAAAGGCTCACTTTACTTGCATCTCTTCCTATTTCTGGAAGCTGATGCTATGAAACCAGAGAGCAGCTCAAAGACCTTTATTCTCCTTGGAGAGTTTGGACTTGACTCAGTGGGGAGAGCTGCTCATAACAGACAATGGGCTGATTCACCGAGGCCCTCTCTCCCCCTCTGTCTGTGTTTGGAACCTGTTCGTGTAGAACAGGTTGTCCTCTGGACACGGTGACAGGTGCCTGCATACAGGTCTGCGAGTGAAACCAGATAGGACACTATTCTACTGTTGGTGTAAAAGTAAGATGCATGTGTTAACCAGCCCCGGAGGAGTGCACCATGTATACCAGAGACTGTGTGTTTGTGTTGACTGTACGTACGTTTAATGTTTGTGTGTTACATATGAACAGATGTGTTCCCAGCAGTCAACACTGTCAGTGCTTTCAGCCCAGTGCCATCAGCTTGTAAATGATTTTCTCTATATTTTAAACATATTACAAAAGAAAACAGCAAAAAAGAACATGTGTTTTTTTATATGTTGTGTGTGTGTGTGTGTGTGACAGAGATTGTGAGATTTCATCGTGCCCACCTGTTCCTCCTCCCTGTGTCCTGATAGGTCTGCCTGATGTCTCTCAGTGTTTCCATGGCATTTTGGAAACAGTCGGGGATCCCCTTATCTGCACCAGAAACACACAGTTACACTTGAATGAGGTCAATTACATTCTCCCAGTCTTCATAGTGACACACTAATTTGAAATGAATTCACATATCATATTTATGGCTTGTTAGAAGGTAAAAAGTGTATTTATCATTGCTGCAAAACATATATTTCCAAAAAGCAGAACAATGTTACTCGAGGACTGTCAAAGTGTAGCACCTCTATCATTCAACAAATGTCGTCTGTTCTACATTCCAAAGACACATCATAGCACAAGACTAATCCTTGATAACTACGCAACCATAAACCTTTTGTTAGTAAAACTTTAAGGAGCTATTTTCCAAATAAACTAGGCAACATATACAACATTACAGCATTCACATTCAACACATTAATGCTCACTATTGAGGAAACAACTGGCATTACCTGTTTCTAAGCCTGTTGGTCCGCTCTGCTCCCATACTGAGATAACTTTAAAGGGTTTTTAAAAAATCTCTTCGCTCTTGGCTAAGACCCTAATCAGTACACATTCATGCTGAATATTTTCTACACCATGATTCTTCGCTGTAACAGAGATATCCTCTCCTCTAACATCCCCTGTTTCTCTCTCTGTCTAAACCATGCGGTTGAGGCTGAGGTAAAAGGCAGGTTTCTCAGCTGAGAGCTTGTATTGTGTAGGAGACCCCTCCCATCCAGGCACGCCACCCTCAGCCCTCCCCTCCCTGTACAAGGTAACTTGATCTCACGGCCTATTTGGGATGCTGACTGTTATGGCTCTTTCTTACTGTCAGGTAGGTAACTGGCATCCAAGGCATACATTTCACATCACCTTAACATTGTCAGTTCTATTTAGTGCTGGCTTACGTTTGTTAAGTTTCTCTGCTATCCCTTGACCCTCTAGGACTGACGACACAAGTTTTATCATTATCTAAAAAGTGTACAAAACGGTTGTGGCCTTATTACCACCAGGCTCAGACCATTAGAACCTGTGAAGTTGTTACCTTGGTTGAGGTCTTTCTGATGGTCAGACAGAGGAGGACACCCTTGAGACTCTAGCACTTCCTGGAAAGAGTAAAGGTGAGGCAACTCATTTATTACATCTTCCAGTCTTAAACAAGATGGAGGCTGGTCTGCAAGTACCAGCCAGATTTTCACTGTAAGAACTTTAAAAATGAAAAAAACCCCAAAACAAAACATGTGAAACAGGACAAAATTAAGGAGAGGGGATTTTATTTAGTCACCTGTACACTACACAAGACACAAAGATGATTATTTCTCAAGTTTTCTGAAATGTTATGTTTAGAACTGCCAATGAAGTATTATCCCTCTAAATGTGTGCCATACAGCTTCAAAACCAGCTTTAAAATTCTTGATTTGTTTTGATGAAATATTGGAGGTAAATGTTTTTCCTGAAGGGATTTTGAATATCACTTTTGATATCAGAAGTGGAAAAAGTTGTTTGAGAAGTTTGAGGAAAAAAAAAAAAAAAAAATTAGAAAAAAGCAGCCTTCAGGAATATGTATTGTAAAGTTTTACAAACTTTTAATGGAAAATACTCTTTGTTTGTTAAACAAAAAAACAAACAAAAAAACCCTCATCATAATAAACGTTGTGCAGTCGGTTACTTAACATAAGACTTTTTTTTTGCTGTAGAAGTTTTCTAAAATTGTATGTTTAAATATACAAATGAGGCATTCTTTCATTATGCAGTAATTTGCATAAATGTCCAATAGACAAAGCATAATAAAATAATTACCTGTACTTACACATTGGACATATTATTGAGGAAAAAATAGGCCAATATGTCCAAATTTGCTAGCGCATAAAAATAATGATGTTTTTGCCTGTATTCGTTAATCTCATATTGAATGTTTTAATGTCTTGTTTTTCTCAATTAATCTGTAAATTATTTCTCAAAACTTACAGCAGGGCAGGTAGAGATTATTAGAAAACCCTGAAGTGCTAACAAACCACAATGGCTCACATCTGACTTCAGAACTGGTAAATTCCATTGGTTATGTTCACAGCAACAAATGACTGAAGCCCTTTTCAGGTGGCAATTTTAGAATTCAATTCTCTAAACATTCTATTATAACAGTTATTATGACTATGTTTTGATTTATTAGTAAACCCTCTGTATAAAGTCTATTTTCTTTACCTGTTTAAATGTACTTCACGTACACATTACAACTGTGTCAGAAAGAAACTGTAGCTTTTCCCTGTAAACCACCTGTTTTTCTCCTCCAGTTAACCAGCTGCCTCTATGAGGACGTCCACAGTACGATGGTATGACAGCTAAGTGTCAGCTACACCAGCCACTGACAGACACAAACACACACACTGAGCCAATTACTGATGCACATATTTGTCTTCTGGGTGACCACTCCCTGCCCTTCTGTCTGTGTTTGTTCATTCTGGCTACTTGAGAGCAGCTATGAGTGAACCTCACAGACCAGTCTGCACTCAAACAGATAAATACAACATCAGTCACAGAGACTATCCTGCTTAATCTGTAGATGAAACCATTTAAAACATATACGAGGAACTAATTGTATGTTTCTTGACCTGCACAATAAGTTTCTCAGTCTTGATTTCTCAAATGTGAATCATAAAGGGTTTGGTTGCTGTCATGTTGTTTCCTCAAAATCTGGAGAATTTAATACAATCTTTCCCCCAAAGCTCTCAAAGAATGATAGGAGCGTTGACATCTTGATATAAAGGTGACATTTCTCAGCATCTCCTTCTAAAGTGGTTTGCCCTTTATCACTTACCCTGGTATGGCTGTATAGTAGAAAGTGGTGCTGATGTGTCAGCGTGGGGGAGGCTCCTGTCGACTGATTAGGATAAAGGCTCTCAATGTCCAACTCTATGTCTGAATCTCCAAACTCTAAGTCCAGATCCTGGTATGAGTGTTTGTCATGGGCCAAGGGTGACACAGGGACAGAATCTGCACAAAATCAGAAAAAAAAATTCCCTTTCAAGAAAAGAAACTGTGGTCTCTGCAGAAAAACTCCAAATCCACACTTGGGTCCACACCTCTGCACCTTGGGCTCAGTGGGCTGTTTACACAAGGTGGGGGATTAGAGGCAGTAGGAAAAGTCAAAAAAAAAACAAAAAACCTTCTTTTACCTTAAAATGTTTTCTATGTCTGTTTATCCATCCCCCCTGCGTCACCCTGTTTCTGTATCACCATCCTTGACACAGACTCTGACCCATACACCCATGAGGGCTCTTAGCAGAGTGGCCTCTCAGACAAACACAAACAAGCCTTTCTTATAGCTTCCCACGGAAGTGCAGGCTTTGAGTTTAACTGCAGAGGTCTCACTCTGAAAAACAGGATTATGAAAGAACTTGGTATGCCATTTGTGTGTATGTGTGTGAAAAAAGGAAAATAAGAAAGTGTGTGTACTTACACTTTATCTTTAATGGGAGAATATAATTGTATTTTCTACACATATGCCACATGTGTACTTTACAGTAAACACACAGTTTAATAAGTTAGTGATGAATTAACCAGTAACCAATGGAAAACCGATAACACAAGTAATAAGTGAGTGGCTACTTGTTTAACATTACCTTTAGTTCATCTGCAGGCAATGATACAAAAACTAATGAACAGGGAGACTTACTTAATAGTACTAAGAGTTGTGTTTTTTTCAGATCATACATGTTGCATGTAGCGCTGCATGGAAGAAAACAGCATATAAAAGAGGGGACTAACTATGTGAAACTGTGTTACATTGCAGGGCTTAGAAACAGGACCCTTTTCACCTCATGGAAACTTCTCATAACTGCAAAATCCAATAACATTACAATTCTTCTGAGAGCAACATAACTCAATAATCCCTGCTTTTAGGAAAGAAGCTCACATGCACAGCTGAAATGCAGAATTTACTCACAGCTTTAACGCAACATAAAGTACATTTCTGTGAATACAAAGCTGTAAAGACAACACTAACATTTTATCCCATTATTAAACAAATAAAATAGTAATGGAGCAACATGAGCATTCATTTACCGGTACTTTTTTTTTTTTTCCACTGTCCTTTCAGCTCTGTCCACCAACTCTTGAACTGAATTCTCCACTGTGTTCTGAAGCTAATTGCTGACTTTATCTGTCTGCCAGTTGTGAGATGTAACTAAGTATATTTGCTCAAGTCTACAATTTTGAGGTATTTGTACTTTGTGTGTATTTCCATTTTCTGCTACATTATGTTTCTACTCCACTGCAAGTTAGGGACCAAAAATGTATTTCTTAACTGCACTATATTTATGTAACTGCTGTTACTAGTTACTTTGCAAAATCTAATCAATAAAGAAATTGTCGTGTAATATTAAGCTTCACCGATCACTAAAGTGAAGCTAGCAAGCTGGTAAACTGTTTGTAGTAGCTGAAACACCTTTACCTGTTTAAAACATTAAAGCGATGAGCACATTAATGCACAATCCTTTTATTCTGAAATATGTCATTCTACACAATGTCTACTTCAAATTTTTAGTACTTTATATGTTTTTTCATGCCAATACTTTTGTAATTTTACATAAGTAAAACTTTAAATCCATGACTTTTACTAATAAATGAGTATTTCTACACTTTGGTATTGCAATTCTTACTTAAAAATTCTTAAATACAAGATCAGATTACTTCTTTGACCTCTGCTGTGTCCCAGCTGGAGCTCTGGAGGTCCTATATAAGCAATTAATCTGAGCTTTTTTGTTCAAATAGCGTCTTGATGCTTTTGACTATGATGCTAATTGGAGAGGTGAGACTGATATAAAGTTACAGGGTAACGCTGCATCTGTGTCTGCTTGGGTTCATGTTAGTGGGTTCATCTGTATGAGAGACTTTTCAAGTAATAAGAGGCTTTAAAGTGTGAATGACAGAACTTGTATGGCCTCTAAACCATGCTTTTTGATACATTCTCCCTGTATGTGTGTGTGTTTGTGTACGTTTGAGTATACCTGTGTGACTTAGAGCCTCCACCAGAACATGTAGGATCTCGTCCGCCAGACAGCTGTTGATGTGAGCAGCGTAATGCAGAGCAGAGCAGCCGTTGTGGTCTCGTGCCTGCAGATCACTGATTGAAAAGTCAAAAGGCAAATGGTACAAGTCTAAGTGGATGCTGGAGAACTTTAGGTATCGTTCCATCTACAATGATATTTCCTTTTGCTGTATCAGCTGCAGCCAAATATATTGTTTTATGTCAAAGCCACTGAATTCCTTTTTTACAAAAATGTTAAAGCGTGTGTATAAGGAGTCCACATATCAATATGTAGACGTGCTTCCTTACGCAGAAAGTCCCAGCAGTTCCTTGATCACTTCCACAGGTCTGTGCTCCCATGGCAACTGTGTCGCTATGCCCTCAAAAAGGTCAATGTCCCTGATGGCGAGCATCACAGCTGTCACACCGTCGCTGTTTGGTGTATTCACATCCACGCTGTCTGTGTGAGTCTGAGACCCCCAAAAACACACACAAAAACACTCATTAGACAAGCATAAATAACATGGAGTTAAAGACAGTTAAGAAAGTATTCTATATACGGCACTTGGCTATACAGTTATATTTTAAAGACAAGGTTCCCCTGGGGTGGCTGTGGCTCAGGTGGTACAGCAGTTGTCCTCTGATCGTAAGGTTGCCCCCTCCACAGTCGAAGTGTCCTTGGGCAAGACACTGAAACCGAAGTTACTCCCAATGGCAGGCTAGCACTTTGCATGGCAGCTCTGTCACCATTGGTGTGTGAATGTGTGTGTGAATGGGTGAATGAGAGAACATTGTAAAGCGCTTTGAGTGCCACTAAGGTAGAAAAGCGCTATATAAGTGCAGTCCATTTACCATTTACCATTTGAGGGGCCTCTCAGTTGTTCCGCAGCTCCACACATTATGTCATATGTGTGATCTTTGTTGTAGGACTGTCACTTGTAAGCTGATTGAAAAAAATCCCATTTCAAAGCTTATAAACCAACATTTTGATTTAATGATTAAGAAATGCATTCAACTCAACATTCAAACCCCTAAAATAAAAATCTTATGTTACAGCTATACATTCAGTTCAAGTCACTCATTTTTCAAGTATTACAATACATTAAAGACCCACACCTGGACCCCTGCAGTTCCCCTACAGATCCAACAGGTCTGAAGATGATACGGTAAACCTGGCCCTGCACTTCATCCTCCAGCACCTAGACTCCCCAGGATCATACGCCAGGATTCTGTTTGTGGATTTTAGCTCTGCATTCAATACTATCATCCCGGCTCTCCTGCAGGTCAAGCTCTCCCAGGTGAACGTGCCAGAGTTATGGCCGACCCCTCCCACCCTGGACACAAACTCTTTCAAACACTCCCCTCTGGCAGGAGGCTTTGCTCCATCAGGTCCAGAACTTCACGCCTCAAAAACAGTTTCCTTCCGTCTGCCACCAGCCTCATGAACAATGCACAGGATCCCCACTGACCCCCACGCCCCCTCTATATCTGTGTACATGTAAATAACAATATATCAGCACTCCCAATATTTTTGTAAATAACACTACCATTTCTATTTAAATTTAAATTTAACTTTGATTCTTTGCACTATTACAGTTATTTTTATTTGTATTTACTTTATTTTACTGTATATTTATTGCTGCTTTGTTGCACCAACCCACCAGAAAAAATTCCTCGTATTGTGAGAACTATTCCTGGCAACAAATCTGTGTCTGATTCTGATTCTGAAGTAGCGCTCACTGTTCAGACTGCTAGGAAGGCACCTAGGGATAAGTATCGTATTTCCAGTAACACAAGGGCACACAAGGGCACAAAAAGATTGGCAGACTAGTGTGTTTGCCTGAGCAGATGATAACTCAGGAATGTATTGTCATGTCCAACTTTTCCAAACAACAGCCTCATTAAATGTGTACATTGTTGGCACTATTATTCATTTACATTATCAACCTTTATATTGTGTTTACACCCTCAGTGTCCATGGGAAAAATTGGACCTGAATTCAATAAAATGGACCAAAAAAAACAACTATTACTCTTGTGGTATAATGTGAAATGTCTGCTATGTAACTTATTAGTCATCCACTAATATATACAATCCTAATTTATGCACCTAAAACCACATTTATCTTACAATAGTTTTCAATTCAATATGGGCACAATTGATCTATTTTATTGCTTAAAGGCTAATGATGAACAGAATATTTCATAAAATAAATTGTTGGTCTTGTCTTATACATCAAAGTTGTGTTAAGGGTCATAATTGAATACAAGCACTTTTCTATGAAAAAATAGAAACATCTATTTCATTTTAATAAACAACACTTTATTACAACTTATTTTGGTTAGTCACACAGCAAGATGAGTGTGTATGTCTTTTTCAAATATTATGATATATTATTGTTAAAATTTCATTGCCAATAATGTGTTGTGTTCCTGATGGTTTGGCAACAGTTGTATTTGTCTTCATATGCAACACAGTTTTTCTCAGTCACTTTGGTACATTTCTCAGATCAGAGTTGAAATTCTACTTGTTCAATCTTCACATCATTGTGTCACTTGTGCACATCCAAAAAGCAGTTTCTCATTTCTTTGAACAAGTTCTAAATGCTTTGGTACATCCATGCAAATGATTACGTACAATTGTCTGCTGTTTCCTACATTATCAATTGCTTATGTCATGTTGATCAAAATGTATTATAATGGGTCTCTGTTGAATAGTCTCTACCCCCCATGACATTTAGGCATTAGTTCATTGCATAAGTCTTTACATGCAAAACGGTTGAACAAGTTGTCATAATATGTTAAGCATATTTCTATATATTTCCATTAGACTTTTTTTCTATATCTGTCCTGAATTGGTAAGTTGCTCCCAGGTGAATCTGGACTTTCTCGAATGAAGGGAAATGTGTGTGGCATTACATAGATCAAACAATGACCAACCAGTTTTCTGAAATAGCTCTAAGGTGCATCTTATGAAATAGCAACTGGCAAGTATATAGGAAGACTGCACTGTAATTCCTACAGCACTGCATATACAGTTTTCCCTAAGGAGATTGTCCTATGTTCACATTTCTACTTTTGTTTTTTCTTTGTGCTATGCAGTGCTGTCTTTTCCTTTCTGTATCGCAATGACATGGTGTGTCAACAAAAGCGTCTTGTCCAGTCTCTTGCAATCAATCTCCCACATACACTATGGTGTAACTCACAATTCACAATAACTGTCATCAAAACTTTAGCCATAGTTTGCATCAGAACATCCCTCCAGAGCACACTGTTATACTGACACCATGACTAAGCAATTTGACTGTCTTATCCGTACACACTGACACAAGGACTTGTCATTCTGATGGTACTGGCATGTTCATTGACACAGATACTTCATGTTAAGAGATGAACTAAGGATTTTGAGCAAGTAACTGCATTTTGCAGGTAATCCATGGTGTTTTGCTATTCGTACGAATTGTTTTGAGAAATGCACTCACTGTTTTGCAAATGCTGAGAATGATTCGAGAAATGTACCAAAGCGACTGAGAAAAACTCTAAATACTACCAGATCAAATATGAACTGTAATACCACATACATAGCTTTATACAACTTTTTTTTTAAAAGAGGAAACTCAACTAAATGTGTTTTTTTTTTTTTAAATCCGTAGGCCATTGGTGAGGATGTAATAAAAACTTGTTTCAATCAGAAAATATAAAAAATATTTCTGTTAGATTTAAACTTGAAAACAAGTAAGATTTGACCTGAAGACAACATGAGTTATTTTATATATCTATATATATAGGTTTGTAAGTATTTTTAGTCAAGGATCCAAATCAGGTGCTGCTGGTGTTATTTGGAGGCATTAGAGAAAGAAAATAAATTATAGTTCTGATCAAAAAATCAGCAAAGTTGTGCAATGCTGATCATAAACATATTATCTAGCTATATTTTGTAACAGATATGCATTGTTTTTGCTCTTGTTGTCTTTACTCACATGGGAATGCCACTCGAGTGGACGTGTGTGTGTGTGTGTGTGTGTGTGTGTGTGTAACTTACAAGCAGGTGCTGAACGGAGTGCAGGTCTCCTTGCCAGGCAGCCTGCAGCAGCTGTGCCTGAAGGGCCAGATGAGGCCTTGACATCCATCTCACCATTTTCCCACGAAGCTCAGGTGAGCTGACGTGGAGCGCTGTCTGCTGACTGTGATCACACCGGGTCAGATCGGCCCCAGTCCTCAGCAGCCGCTGCACCACCTGTTAGGAAAGAGAAAGAGAAAAGACAACAGTAAATGAGAAAATTTAGGAGACTTTTATCATATATGTTTTTGATTTATAAATGAGGCTTTGTTAATGTGTACATTCTGTCTGCCAGTGCTCATTCTTTTGCTATTAATTAATTATTATTTCATTTTTTTAAAACCTTGTTAATGTGTGCATTTTTTAAAACATCTCAAGATCAGGTTTGCTAAATATGAGCTGTAATTCAGTAACTTGTGTCTGTCCCTGGGATCACAGTGGAAGTGTCTCTCCTGTGTTACTGGTAAGTCACATGCTTGTTTTGAACATGCCTTCCCGAGAGGATGCGGAGGAGTTAATGGCAAGATATAGGTCCCCTGCCTCTCATGCTATTGTTATTGAAAGGAAAAATACTGCGTGCCACGTGACAAAATTGTTTCTTTCCACCCAACCCAAATGACATAAGTGTTACCTGGAATTTTCCTCTGAACAATGTACTGATGTTGAATGTTCTAATAGCTGGGATATCAACGCTAAATTATAATTACAAAAGACATCAACTTGCCAGATTCTTTGTCTCTCTGTCACACACATATGACATAAATTACCTCAGTTGTGCCTGCACAGCAGGCGGTGGTAAGAGCAGTCCTTCCTTCTTCCTCTTCATCCTTGATGTTGGACGCCTGCAGTTCCTCCAGCAGCTCTATCTCTGGTCCACGACTCTCTACCAAAACCTCACTTTCCTCCTCCAGCTCCCTTTTCTGCATTTCATCATCATTCTCTTTCTTCTTACTCCCCTCCATAGTTCACAGGCTCCCAGTCTCAACTGTGTAAACAGAAGCCAAAGAAAAGTGCAGCGTCAGACCAGACTTCTGTTGTTTATTTTGCTAATACGGAAAAAAAAAAATTAACAAGAGGAAAAACCACAGCGCTGATCTTTCAGTTCGATGTCTCTGACAGTCTGTATGTTTGTGTGATTCTTTGTGTGATGTTAGCCCTGTGATGTCAGTCTCTAGTGACCCACTGCTCCCTGCAGAGATTGCAAGGAGGGCATGGTACAAAATATTGTCTCACATTAATCCAGCTGGTGTGTCACTGTAATATACATCATTATGCAGGAAATGAACTTGATGACGCTGATGACGTTGTGCATATGTGCATGCAATAACTCCTGGGTGTCACTTTACCTAGTTAA